AGCTGCCCGAAACTCTACCCTACTCGGCATGAGTAGAATATTCCAGGTCATCCAATTGAATGTAAGAAAACAGGACACGGTACACGAGAGCCTAATGAACGATACGCGACTCCAGGATTTTGCAGTTGTAGCAGTCCAAGAACCACAGGCATGGAAAGGTGACGGCAAACTATTAACAGTCCCTATGGGGCATCCCAGATGGATTAAAATGGTCCCTACGATTTGGAGAGATGGCAGATGGCCGATCCGGAGCATGTTGTGGGTGAATAGGGACTTGGGGGCCGACCAAGTACCAATACAGTCCTCGGACTTGACAGCAGCAGCCATACGACTTCCGGACCGAATAATGTTGGTTGTGTCAGTGTATGTGCCGGGACGCAAGCCCCAGGCTCTTCGAAATACATGCCATACCCTGCACCAGGTGATCCTCGACCTCAGGAGCAGGTCAGGGATGGCGGTGGACGTCATTCTGGCCGGAGATTTTAATCAGCACGACCGGCTATGGGGAGGAGACGACGTGGCCTTGGCAAGGCAAGGCGAGGCCGAACCGATTATCGACGTCATGAACGAGCACGGCCTATGCAGCCTCCTCCCGAGAGGCACAAAGACATGGCAAGGCCCCGACAAGGAAAGCACAATCGACCTGATGCTGGCGACGGCAAAACTGGCAGACGAAATGGTGACGTGCTCCATACACCCGACAGAACACGGATCGGACCACCGGGCGATCCAAACGACGTTCGATCTCGCGATGCCTGATCGGATTGTCACGGAAAGACTGTCGTTCAAGAACGCACCATGGACAACAATCAGAACCAGGGTGAAGAAAAATCTCCGAGAGCTTCCCTGGACTGTCGGTGTGCAGGAGCAGACAGACCAGTTAATGAGGGTCGTCCTCGAGGCGATCCACGATCTGACACCCCGAGCACAACCAGTACCGTACGCGAAGCGCTGGTGGACGAAGGATTTGACAGGACTTCGGCGGGTGTACACATTCTGGCGAAATCAGGCCAGGGCACAGCGGCGAGCAGGCCAAGTGAGGCCCGACCTGGAAAGACGGGCCAAGGAAGCATCCAAGGAGTACCATGATGCCATCCGGAAACAGAAAAAACTGCACTGGGACGACTTCCTGGCAGAAGATGTCAACATATGGAAGGCGGCCAAGTACTTAAAACCAGAAACAGGTGTTATGGACGACAGGGTGCCCCCTTTGAAGAGGGAAGACGGTTCCACCACGGAAGATACGGTGGAGCAGGCAGAGGAGCTGCTCAGCACGTTCTTCCCCCCGTTGCCGGCTAAGATTGACGATGAAGGCGAGCGACCGCAACGGACGGAAGTGCACATGCCAGACCTCACCATGGAGGAAGTTGAAGAAAAAGTGCTAGCAGCGAAACCTTGGAAAGCACCTGGAGAGGATGGTCTGCCAGCAATGGTGTGGAAACAGCTTTGGCCAGTGGTTAGATACCGTGTCTTGCACCTTTTCGACACTTCCCTCAGGGACGGTGTGGTACCCCACCAGTGGAGGAGTGCGAAGATCATCCCGCTAAAGAAAGCAGACAAGGGAGACTACACAGTGGCCAAGGCATGGAGACCGATATCCCTGCTGTCAACACTGGGCAAGATACTCGAGGCAGCCGTTGCAGAGCGGGTATCCTATGTAGTGGAAAGCTATGGACTGCTGCCTGCAAACCACTTCGGGGCAAGGAAGCGAAGGTCAGCCGAACAAGCACTGATACTGCTGCAGGAGCAGATCTACAAGGCATGGAGGGCCGGCAGGGTGCTCAGTCTGATCAGTTTCGACGTCAAGGGTGCTTACAACGGAGTGTTCAAAGAACGACTACTGGAGAGGCTGAAGGCGAGAGGCATACCTGGTGGACTGGTGAGATGGATTGACGCCTTCTGCTCTGGACGCATGGCCACCGTGGTGGTAAATGGGTACAAGTCACAGCTACGGGAGTTGCCACAGGCAGGTCTCCCGCAAGGATCACCACTGTCGCCGGTGTTGTTCCTGTTCTTCAATGCAGATTTGGTGCAGAGAAGAATCAACGCAAGAGGTGGTTCGATGGCATTCGTGGACGACTACTCAGCCTGGGTGGTGGGACCAACAGCGGAGGAGAATCGAGCCGGCATCCAATCAATTATAGACGAAGCACTGGGCTGGGAAAGACGGAGCGGTGCGACGTTCAACGGAGACAAGACGACCATCGTGCATTTCACGCGAAACGCCGCGCGTACCAGCGACAAAGCGTTCATGATCAAAGGAAAAGTAGTCAAGCCCAAGGCGAGCGCCAAGATCCTGGGAGTGGTCATGGACGCGAAACTGCGGTACAAGGAACACATAGCTAGAGCCGCCGCAAAGGGGCTCTCGGCTGCTATGTGTCTGAGAAGACTGAAGATGCTGTCACCGCGGATTGCGAGACAACTGTTCGTAGCAACAGTAGCTCCCACCATGGACTATGCGTCCAGCGTGTGGGCGCACTCATGTGGCATTAGAGAAGCTGCTTGGCTGGACAAGGCACAGATGGTCGGAGCACAGGCGATCACGGGGGCTTTCCGGACCGTCGCAACGGCGGTGGCAGAGGCCGAAGCTAGCATCCAACCGGTGCAAGAACGGCATGCGCAAGCGGCAACAAGGTTTTGGATCAACCTCCGGACCCTTCCCAGGACACACCCGTTGGCGACACTGAAAGTGAAAGTGTGTCGCCGATTCGTATCGCCGATGCAGAGGATTGCTCAAGTACAAGGGGAAACAGCCACTGAACGAATGGAGATCATTCGGGAGTACGCGTTACCGCCATGGAGGAACCGTATCCCGGTGTCGTGCGACCCTGACCGGGAGAGAGCGGTGGAAGAAGCAAAGAGGGTGAATGGCATAGTTATTGCCACCTGCTCCTCGCAGAGAAGGGGCATGGTAGGCATGGGAGGTGTCGTACGAGATACGGCGATCAACAAAGATGACGAGGTAGTGGCCAGCTACTCCATCACTCTCGGGTTGACGGAGGAGCTGAACCTATACATCGCCGAGTTGGGAGCTATAGAGATGGTATTGAGATGTATGCCGTCTGGACTCTGCTGGCGGGATGTGACTGTCATGACGAGCAGCCGCTCCGCACTAGAAGCCATACGGCGGCCACGACAACAATCCGGCCAACAGATCATACGGCAAATATACGACCATATGAAGCGTCTCGAAGACGAGGGCCACTCTCTCCGGATGTTGTGGGTTCCAGCAGGAGAAGAGGATTTTGCGCTGGGACCAAAAGCCAAAGCAGCAGCGCGGAAGGCCACAGAAGGAGAATGCAGACCAGATGTGCCACCACATCTAGCAAGATCCACAAGGATAAGACTAGCGATAACCAAGCAGCGGCAAACAAGAACACTACCAGAAAGAGTCGGGAAATGCTCGAAGCAGATAGATACGGCACTGCCAGGCAAGCATACCCGTACTCTATATGACCCGCTGAAGAGGAAGGAAGCAGACGTACTATCACAGCTCCGCACCGGAATGGTGAGACTTAACAGCTTTCTATGCAAGATAGGAACGGTGGAATCGGACACTTGCGAATGCGGGCTAGCATCAGAGACAGTGGAACACTTCCTATTCCGCTGCGCAAAATGGACCGCGCAACGGGAAGGCATGTTGCGATGCTCACAGACAAAGATGGGAAACCTATCATACTTCCTGGGGGGAAAGGCGGCGTCTGACGGTGACAAATGGACACCAGACATGCGGGCAGTACGCGCGACGATCAAATTTGCCATTGCAACGGGGAGGCTTGACATGGACCAGAAGCCTCAGGCACACTAACTATTCAGATTGAATCCTACTAACATCATACAGTCTCATTTTGGCAGACCGTGCTTCAGCTGCTGAGGATAGGATGCTGAACACTTGGAGAAATTGGCCTTCAAGCAGGCCTGTCACTGCATATACATCAGATTGGACCAGTCAGTAGAGTGAAATTGTGGGGCTTCGGGTGATTATGGAAGAACCGTACGAAACGAAAATAGCTTAGCGCAAAGGCCCTCTGGGGTGTGTCCCCCCGGGCGAAATAAAATCCATCCATCCATCCATCCATATAACAGGTCTGCTTGGGTGGTTGACGTGTGATTTACCCCGCTATTTACCCTCACACCTACGTTTCCGACGTCAGGACCCAGGTCTCGTAAACAGCCACGCTGCACCGCCTTTCCGTGCCGCTGTGAGGATGCAAATAGCATGGTAGATAGCGCTCGACGATCAATCCTGTCTAATTAGATTTCTCGTAGACCTCGTCGTCGTGAAGCTTTTGTGGTGTAAGCGCTGGTGGGCGCCTGGGTGCATTACCCGGGCGGTGACAGCGCTAAGGGCCGAAGCAGTCGCCCAGGCGCGCCACGCCTGCGTGCACACATACCCACGCCCACCATTATCCTCCCCCAGCGCCCGCCATCGATTTTTGAGGGTATCGTGGGTGGTGCCGATTGAAAGGGCGGCCTCGAGAGGACCCGCACAAAAATAGCGGACGAGAATCTCCGCGTGGTTGTTGCGCCACGGCTGGTGCAGCTACCGTGGTGGGATGCGACATGCAGCCGCCCGCCGCGGCCGCCTGCACCGCGGCGCGGCAGCACCACGGCGCCCAACAAGCTGCACGCTACGTTTAAGCAAAAAAGAAAAGTATGGTTTGAATCTTCTGCTTCTGGCGTACAAGTCACTACTATCGCGGATCGCTCAAATAGACCCCTCGTGGTGCTGCAGCGAGTTGAAGTTGGGGCACCCCCAGCAGCTTGCCCCAAGCATCATCATGCCGGGCCACATCACACAACTACACTGGGCTTCTCGGCACGACAACAAGCTCAATTCTGAGCATTATCTAACGTACCCTATATCAGAATGTAGAGAAAGAGAAGGGCTACAAGACGCACCGAAGAAGTTGTGATGTCATTCCCCAAAACAAAGCAAAAATGAACATCCAAGCCCCTCCCCTGCACCCGGGGGTGGAGGGCGTGACTTGGATGTTTGATACCCCAGGAAGGAATCAAACCACCGTCTCTCATCGCTTTCGTGAGCGTACTAACCATTGTACTACAGGGATACTTGAAGGGCTTGTAGTTGTAGCTTAAAAGGAAGGGAGACCTGGAGGGAAGGAGTGGTCATGTAGGCTGATGTTGGGTGGCGCGCAGCAGGTGCGGCGGCCTACCTGCCACTCCGCGACATGTCCACGAATACTAGGTTCCAGCGGTCGTGGGTAGTACCATTTGACGCGTCTAAACGGGCTAATTACAATGATATAAGCTTCATTTGGTTAACCCTACTGTGAGAAAAGTTCTCGTGGGCGGATGTCCAGGCCCACTTCCACGGAGCTGCGCCCCGGCTGTCTCCCGGGACCATGCCCGCATGCTGGGGTTCACCTCTATACAACTCAACGAGCACTGCAGATGGGCACAAACTACTTATATCAATGGATTTGTCGTCGAAAGATGAATAGTTTGATATAAGAGAAAGCTAGTGGAGACCCCTGGATAATACCGAAACCTGCGGTTTATACACATTGGCCAACATGCCGTTTAGGAGACCGGTGCTGCGGCTATGTGGCCGGCGAGAGGAAAACAACAATAACCATATCTAGATCCCCTATTTCCTGCCTTTCAAATACTTCTGATAGTTGGCCAAAGACCGCTTTCCACGCTCACGGTCCATATCAGCGGCTGCGACCTTCTCGTCCCAGCCATGGGTTTCCGCCCGGAGCTGCACCTCATCCATGATCGACTTGCGGATGGAGAAGTACATGCGCCGCGCAGGAGGGCGCCAGCGAGCCCCATACTTCTCCTCGAGGACGGCGACGGCGGGCATGAACGGCGTACCCTCGCGCCAGACACGCCGGAGATCCTCAACCGACGAGAGGTTGTCAGGAATGTCGTGCTGCGGCACGGCCACAATGCCACCATTCAACACGACTTTTTGCTTCTTTGCTGGAAGGTCGGGCACATCTTGCACCGTTGCCATTACGGTATCAGGGACTTGTTGCTTTCGTTTGGTGCCAACGTTGGCCTCCCCGGGGCAAGATGTCGGCCGCTGCCCCGGGATATCGCTTGTGAAGCAAGTATATGCGTGGGCCGCCTCTGCGGCGCTCTCGCCACGCGAGACTGTAATGTGGATAGTCTGGTTGGCGAGGTCTTTTATATACGCCCTCATCGACTCGAAGTCCTCACTGCTTAGCTTCCTTCCCTGCTGGAACTCCTTCAGAAGGTACGCTTGTTGGCCGATAAGATCACGGACCGCTCGCGTGAGAAACTCGTTGGCCTGCTCGGCTTGGAGCCATTTATCTTCGTTTCCTTGCTGCTGTGCGCACATATCCTTAACTTGCTGGGCAAACACTGCAAATAGCGGACTTTTAAACACAGGGTGCTGAAACATCGGGTGCTTGGGGAACGATTTGCGGAGGAAAACGGCATCCTGGAGAAGAACGTCCCGAAGCCACACCAACAACTCGATACAGGCCGCTGCCCCGTGCTCTCGGTCAATATCGCGGGCTTCTGGGTGGCCCTCGTGGGCCAGGGACCACGCCCAGTGGTCTATTTCGGGCCATATCATACTCGTCAGCTCCGCCGGAGGTTTGACTCTATCTCGAGGGATGTCGTATAGCTCAGGGGATCCAGGCTCAAAGTCGGCTAGCGCCCTCATGAACTGCGGTGCCAGTCCCGTAAGATAGGAGTGTGTTAAGGCATCAGAGCCGGTCGCCCAGGGACCGGACCGGCGGATCTGCGACGAGTATTGCGTGAGCAATCGAGATCCCAAGTCAGGGTGGTGGAGATATCGGTCACCTCGCGGCGCGGCTCGCGATAGGCCACCTATTTGTGTGGGCTACGCCAAAGCTCGGCGCGGCGGGCTAGCACTTAGCTCACCTCCGGCTCGGGGCACAGGGCTAATTCTGCCAACATCGCGGACACCTTTCGTCTTCCGTGTCTGGGCTTCTTCATGCGGATACCGCAGGCGTTAAGCAATCTCGTGGCCCAGTCCCGAGCAGTATTGCTCGAGAGGGTGGCTGGCAATTCGAGATCAAAGGTTAGACTATAAGCACAGCGGGAGCCGGATATCAAGATGTTGGGCGACATGTTGACTAACCTATAGGATTCTTTTTATCTCGCCGAAGGACCTTCGTATGGTACCACAGCTGACGGTCTGAGAAGTCTGGAAGCGGCTCTTTCTCGTGCTCGAATCGCCAGAAGAGCCAGAATGCCGTCTGGCCCACGGCACAAGCGAGAGGATCGCGGTGCCTCAGAACGCCGGCCTTCTCGATGCGGCCCTCCTGGTTTTCTTCAGTGATGTTATTGGATTGGAGGCAATTTGGATTGGACTGGATTTGTCGGAAAATGGCTGGACTGGATTTGGGTTTCTCGAAGATTTGGACTGGATTGGATTGATTGGCAACCAGCTCCTGGAGCTCCAATGGTCTAACCTGATAAGGCAAGAGCTAAGCCTAATTGAGTGGTCATGAGGAGTCTCCCGTCGCAGCTGCCGTCGCAGACCACGACACGACGCGCGAACTATCGTTCCGCTATTGGGTTAACATCCAACGCGTGCAGATTGCTACGCTATTAAAAGCACGGAGGCAAACGCGTCGCTCGCGACTTCAGCAGTCCTTCTACTGTGGCAGACGTGTCTGAACAGTCCACTCACCAGCTACACCATGGCCACTATCTCCAGCTATTTCGGTGCTGCCAGCGGTCGCCGTCCTGATTCTGACAGAGTTATTCTTGCTCCAACATATATTAGTCCTCGCCCAAACGACCCCGACGGAACCCTGATCGAACCCGACGAATTCAAGCTGAATGGGAAGCAATATGTACGCTACTCTGTTGTGGCAAAGTCCCAAAAGCACACCAAGAAAAGGACATCAGTCGTCTGGCAGTATGGTGAAGACATACAACTCAAGCAGGACCCGACGAAGACGTTCTGGTACTGTTATCTGTGCGAACAGCAGCAGCGCCAACAGGGACTTCCTATTTCCGGCAAGGGCAATTGTACTACCTTAAACCACCTGGAATCGAAACACCAAATCATCGCTCACGGCTCCGGATGGACGTCATTGAAGCCAGCGAGTGCTTACGAGCTTGGTATGGTCGCCCGGAGCAGAAGGCATTTGATGACTCTGCCATCGGTTTGATGGAGGGTGAGGCAGGGAGTACAGTTGGGGCGGATGGGCTGGGTGAGGGAGAGGAAGGCGGCGAAGATGATGGAAGCGAGAAGAACATACTGGAGACGCAAGTTGCTAGAGAACATGAGCTCCGTAGTTAGGTGGTGTCATAACCCAAGGACAAGAACAGTTCTACTCCAAGTCTGCTTATTCAGCGGCTCATTGATTGTCCCAAAAGGGTAAAAATATGAACTGGATCGGTTCTGGATATCCTGGAGGCTGCCTGTCCCCACGTCTGGACTGGATTGGATCGAGGCTCGGATCCAGCTCCAATCCAATCCAATAACATCACTGGTTTTCTTTGCCCTGGCGCATCACGGCGACGAGCGCACGCGCTGCAGCCCTCTTCCTCTGCCGTGACTTGTACGCCTGCGGCAACGCAAACGAGAAGAGGTCTGGAAGCTCTAAGTTTGAGATCTCGCTCGGCCGTTTCGCCGTGTGGGTGCCGAGAAGAAAGTCAACGTTGGTCCGAAGTGCTTGCCCCAAGCAGGTACGATCGGGCCAATTCCAAGCCGCCTGTGTGTGGCGAGGGATATCCTCCTGGGTATATGTATCGTAAAGTGTTCCCTCGAGCCGGTCTGCGAATTCCTTTCGGTCCTGCTCGTATGTGCCGGTCCTGAGGTTATCCACAAGCATTCCCAGCTGCTCAGACCGAGGATTCGGCCGTGGGTTGACCTTGGTGCCAGACTGGAAGGCCCACAACTTCACGATCGCGGTTATGTAGCTTTTCACGGAGTTGTGGTGCAGCTGCAGAGCTTCCTCCGTCTCCTCGTCCTCGGCAATAGCAACTATGATCTCGTTGCAGAGCTCAGCGAGAGCGTCCTTGTGCGCCTTTACCTTCCTGCGTTGTTCTCGTCTCTCCTGCTGCGCCCTGACCCGTTTTCCCTTCGAGGGAGGGCGAGGTATCACAAAGTCCTTGATCCAGAAGAAGAGCTTCTGGTCATCTACCAAGTCCCCAGGGAGCATCTTGTTTCTCGGCCAAGTCTCCATCTTCACAGCCCAGTTTCTCGGGACAGGTTCAAAGGACTCAGCACACCATGCCTGCAAGATATCAGCCTCAGAGGAAATTCTCCCATAAAGAAAAGTCACGATATGTCTGGGGGTGGGTGAATAGGTGCTGCGGTACGCAAGGCCAAATGTCATACCCTCCACTCGGCCCACTTCGGCTTGTAGGCATTCCGCGTATTAACCGGCATATCCTCGAGATATCGGTCAAAGAAAGCATGATACGAGTCGACGACCCTCGGGTCTACGTTCATCTCCATTTTGGGGTTCTCACGGGGTGTGTGGCGGGCGTTATTCACGGCGTTGTTCAGCTGGTCGGCAGGAGGAGGGTCGGGGTAAACATGCCGTGCCGCACGGGGTGGGCGCGACAGCAAATATCACGGCACGTAGGGCCCGAAACGCGTTTGCAGCGATGAAACCTTCGCTCGGGGATATCTAAACTCTATTACTATGGGCAAGCTATCGTAATATCGTCGTAAACGACGGTCTGAAGGGTAGGGTGACATCGCTTAGACCAGGTGCGGAGGTGTGTAAATCACGGCCCGTTTACACGTAAACCAGCGCCAAGACCCCCTACACCTTAGGATGATTAAGTGCCGAGGTTCATCTTGATTCGTTTTGTGTGTTGAATACAGACCCAATCGAGCTACAGACAGTGACCAGCGGTTGTTCTCCCGCCGGCGTTCAAGAAGCCCTGCCTTTTGCGGATAGGCGAGATAGCACCTTGTCACTCGCTGGGAGTTTTGGCTGTCTAAGACGTCTTGGAAGAGGGCCTTTGCTTCACGGGTATGCCCGCCTCCAGAGACTTTGACATATTTCGGGGCTACGGACGTGAATTAGTTCCACGGCTGTTTCTAGCTGGATGCGACTAAGGCAAGCACTCAGAACAAGAT